CGCCGACATGACTTTGTTCAATGCATTGCTCAGTGGCGTGCCCACTGGCTTCAAACACGACATCCCCATCTCAGGGGTATTTGCTCCATCAGGTCGCTCAGCCTCAGATGATGCATTAACTGTCTGCCAGGAAAATTGGCAGGGAGCCGAAGACGACCCAGTCCTCCTCGAGGAGCTAGTTCAGATCGAGGTGGACAAAGGCTGGTTGAGGTGCATTGAATCGTTGGAGGCTGCACGCCAGATCTGGCCCAATGTAGCAGTTGGCAAACTGAATATCGTACCTTCTGAAGGGCGCAAGCCTCGCTTAGTGGTGGATTCTTCCATTTGTGGTACCAATGCCTCCTGCCTTATTCCAGAGCGATCCGCACTGCCTACATTACAAACCATCCAAGCTTCTTGGCCGTTGCGGGGGAAGCTCGAACCTCTGGCAGCTTGGTCCCTTGATGTTCAAGCAGCACACAAATCCATTATGGTGCGCGAATCTGAACAGGGTCTACTTGGCATTAGAGTCGGTCCCAAGCTTTATTTCTATACAGTTTGTCCATTCGGCGCGGCCTTTTCTGCATTCTGGTTTGCTCGACTTGGTGCAGTTTTCGTGCGCACACTTCATCGGCTTATTTTCATTGCCCACTTCCTGGCAATGTATGTGGACGACTTACTTGGTTTTCAGTCTGCATCAGTTGCAGAGATGAGCTTTTGCATTACTTTATGCTTCTGTGGGGCCTTTTCCATCCCCTTATCCTGGAAGAAATTACAGTTTGGATGCTCCGTTCGATGGATAGGATGGGAACTCAACTTCAGTATGGGCTGCGTTTGCATCCCAGCTGACAAACTTCTTCGTTTGCATTCCGTTATTACTGCTGCTCTTCGGGGTAAGTATACGGATCGGGCTACATTGAGCAAACTGTGTGGTATGCTACAATGGCTGTTCAAGCTTTTCCCTCTGGCGAGGCCTTGGTTGAGGTCCCTTTATCAGGACCTCAACACACCGCGTGCCACCAACTTCAGCATTCGTCAGAATGATTGGCAATCCTTCATTGCTTGTTTAAATGACACTTTGCATTTGGTCAGGTTGCCTCCAGGAGCGGCTATCACTGTGGGCAGCAAAGTGTTGGCTGTCAGACATCGCAAAGTCAGTAACAAGAGAGAGCTTTTGCATTGCAACCTTGGTGATAAGGATATCTGGCTTCGCATTGCGGATCCGGCCTCCAAAAGACGTACATTGAGTCCGGCCTCACGGAATCTATTACAGTTCTGGCTGGAATGGTCTGCATTGCCTCCCATCTGGAGATCCCTTCGTCCTATTGAGCATCTGCAAGTGGAGGCTGCAGCAGATGCCATGGGCAATGGTCGCACCTTTGCTATTGGCGGCTACATTGCTCTGCCAGGTGGGGAATTTTGGTTCTCTGAACGGTTTACTGTGGAGAAATTTGCATTTGCAGAGCTTCCATTGAAATCTGAAGCACACAAGGACATTACATGCTATGAATGCCTTGGTCAAATTGCATTAGTTTGGCTTTTGAGTGCAGTGCACCCAGGATGCAAGCTTTCCGTCCGTATGCATTCCTGGTGTGACAACAGTGGCGCTGAAGCCACTGCGAACAAGTTGTTTACCACCGCATGGCCTCTTGCTGCATTTGTGCAGCGACTGGCCATTTTAAGCAGTTTCACTGGCATTCATTTGGATGTGCATCACATTGCAGGTCCCAAGAACACGGAAGCGGACTTTTTGAGCCGCTGGACTCCAGCTGATGCACTGCCTGTGCGTTGGAGCCCCATGCGAAGAAGACGCATTCCATTGAAAACTCTCTGGAACGCCTCGCCTAGCATTTCAATCTCGCCTTCCTCTTGGAAGCCTTCATTCAATATCCCGAGTGGTTCTCCTTTAGGAGCAGCACTCTGATGACCTTGTCGCACGTTTTTCATTTGGTGGAATTGATGCGCGACTTCGGTTCTCTGGCAGTTTTGCATTTGGGGGAAACATGCAGATCAGTTTCACTGCAAGGTCCATCCCTTGCTCGGACAGCACGATCTGCATTCCCGCCAGAGAACAAAGGTACGAGTGTTGTGCGAGTGACTGCATCAATTCCACTTGAATACTTTCCATTTTTGCTTTATATGTATATGCCTTACATATAAATATAAAGCTGCACATAGGAAGCAGCTGCGAATACATTAACCGAACGGTATGTGTGCTTGCTCACGAGTGTTTGGTAATGTTTTGCATGCTTGCTGCATTTCATGACATTCCATGTCCATTGCAGCAAGCAGGCTCGCAGCTGCCAGCTCGCCTGCATCGCAGGCTGAAATCTTTTCCCACCCACCTCTTCCCTTTTTGTGGGAGTACAGTGCGGGCATCTGCATTCTGTTGGCTGTACTCATTTGTGCATTTATCATTTCAGGATGTTTGCATCTACATCACTTGGGCGAAGCTTTCGTTGGCCATCTTCCAAGAAGAGTGACCATCCTGCATTCCTTCATCGGTGACAGGTCGGTGCCTTTTGATGCACCTGGATCTCCCCGGATGGGGGAAACATGCAGATCAGTTTCACTGCAAGGTCCATCCCTTGCTCGGACAGCACGATCTGCATTCCCGCCAGAGAACAAAGGTACGAGTGTTGTGCGAGTGACTGCATCAATTCCACTTGAATACTTTCCATTTTTGCTTTATATGTATATGCCTTACATATAAAGCTGCACATAGGAAGCAGCTGCGAATACATTAACCGAACAAGGAGGAAGCCCGTTTTGTTTGCTGGCCGGAGACGAAACAACTGCACACAGGAAGCAGTAAAGGACGCGGAAAGTCGAGGATGGAATCCCACAGTGAGGACAGTGATGACTGGGAAGTAATAGAGCCGGAACCTGTATCACCCAACTTTTGCGGAAAGATGTGCCGTTGGTGCAAGGAGAAAGCTTGTGTAAGGAACAAGATCGGACACACGTGGTGCGCGTGTGAAGAATGCATCAGAGACTATGCAACAAGTAAATGGAAGGAAACCTATTACAAGGTTGATGCTGGAAGAAGTTCCGAAGTATCTTCAACGGAAGACGACCAGAGTTGGAGAACCGAAACAACCAGTCTACGACGAAGGCCGGTAAACCAGGACGTCGGAGGAAACGGAGTGATGTATGATCCCCTGCGAGGCCGAGGATCAGCGCGGAGACGTGGACTTGCAGCCGGAAGTATTGGACCAGGAACCACCACGACAGAGAACACTGGAACGGAAGGAGGCAACACAAGTGGAAGCCGAATGCCTATCATCAGTGAGGAAGACTACCGGACAGGAAGCAGAGTAGTATCAAGACAGGAAGCAGAACGGATCGAGCACCAAGGAAATCAAGTAATGCCGGAAGTTTGCCAACGGAGCTATGAACAGTTCTGTGAGGAAGCAGCAGCCAGAGAGGCTGGAGAAGCAGAGCCCGGAACACCGAGCTCAGGACAGAGGGACCATTAAGCTCAGGATTGTGAGTGAGGTCAGAAGAAAAAGGAAAATCCGTAAGCCCTACTATGACGAGAACGTCAATGGCGACAAGTAGTGAGTGTAGGCCGGAAAAGTTTCACCAAGAACCCACAACAGCTCGTGAAGAAAAGGGCGTAAAAGTATTTCTCTAATTGGCGAAGGTCTTGTTACTGTACGCGCAATGTCAGATCAAGTACGGTCCGACAAACCCCGGAATTGGGGGAGGTGAAAGGAGGGTTGCATGGATTGTTTCAACCCAAGGAGCTGGAAAGCCGAGGCAGGTGGTTTGCCCGACCGTTGATGGACCGTGTTTGTTCGAAAGTACAGCACAAGAACTTCGAGGCAGGGTGTTAAGTTTTCTGTATAGAACACCCACGCCTTTGAAGAGCCCAGGCTACGGTATATAGTTTGTATAGTTTGACCGTGCAGCGCCTTTGGCTTAAACACAGAAAAGCGTGAACGCTTAAGGTCGTACAGTTTAGCTTTTCCAGCACCGATCAGGGCGTGCCTGCGGCAAACGAACAAGCGTATCCTGTGATATGAGGTGCCACCGAAACACTACTGGGCAGCCGCCGCCAAGTTGAATTTTCGACGCCAGCGACCTTTCTATTCTGTTTGCGTTCTTCGGTTTTGGATTTTTTGTAGTATCCTTAGGGGGGTCTCCAAGGGGTATAGATACCTACTAACCCCTAGTTCTCCCTAGTGTTCCCCAAAATTCCCTCAAGGTTCCCTAAGGATCCCTTGTAACCTTCCCCCTTGAACCACCTTCTCTTAAGGACCCTATAAATTTCTGTGCGCTGCGGTTGGCATGTTCATGCACCCTTGGGTCGCCACCAGCGCTAATTGTCAGGAATAAAACAGTGTCCGAGCGCCGGAAGCCGGTCCGTACGAAAGTAAGCTCGACATGTGCGACAGTCACTTCGTTCAATGTGCCAAAAAGGCAGTGCCTTAAAATCAAGATGTGCAGCACCGATTTCATTGGATGCGAACGTTAGGCAGTTTCTTGGGTCCTCGGTGGCGTGCTAGCTACTTCGAGGTTTCTGTTGACCAGTAGTTTGCATCCTCCGAGAGCAGCTGAAAGGCCGCAGGGATCATTGTATTTCTGCACTTCAGATGGTGCCAAGATTGCATGACGTGCATGGTATCCATGCATGTCGCCCGCTGGTCCCAGCTACCCGAACATTTGGTCGACGTTTAGATTATATGTGTGTGCGTGCCAGTGTGTCCACACTTTTGTAACAGACCTTCATCAGCTCCAGAACAATAACGGCAACTGCAACGCTGCGCAGCGAGATGTGCAAACTTGCAAGAACCACAAGTTTGTCAATCTTTGAGTCCTTTGTATTTTAATTCACATGCTTCCTGAAACGCTTTCGGGAAACGTCAGCTACGCCTCGCCGAAACATTAAACAGCAACACTACAGTTTGTTGATCACAACTGTCATGATTCGACGTGCCGCACTACACAAGGTACTATGGTGTCTACAGTAGGAAATAGGAAATTGGGCCTGCCATGCCTTCCAGCTTCCGCGAGAGATGGCGCCAAAAAGCCGCTCGAAGAACAATATGGGACGAACAACAAGCCAGAAGAGATTGCCAAAGACTGCACGAGCCTCATTTTGTCAAGCAAGCACAGGTCAGTAAAACGGGATTCGGCAGTGTCTGAAGGCAACAAACGTTAGCATTGCGGACAAGAAGCAGAACGACTTGAACTTTTTGGAGGAGGTCGCAAGCGATTGTTACCTGAAGTGCGGCTCGCACATCGCGGGCAGGTCGATGGGAGCATCGATCCGAGCAGCATACCTCGTGTGTTTCAGCTTCTCGGAGCTGGGTTAATGCAGGCGCGAGCGTGCTAGCACCTTGGTGTTCGTTGAGAGTTCTTGCATGGCGTAGCATGTCGACACCGCGTTTGTGCGAGCAGGGCGACCGTGCTTGCCTTCGAGCGGCTTGCAGCGCTGTTGAGCGCATCTGTGAGGCAGCCCTTGCTTGTTGAATATTTCTTGTGCCTGGTTCGTTCCTGAGTTACAGTGCAAGCTGAGCATGAGACTGGCAGGCCAACGAAGGCTTTTTCAGCTTGCTCCAGGCTGATTGTGCATCATGCTGCAATCACATGAAACACCAACCATATGTGAAGTGTCTCGCTCGTTCACTTGTTGCATGATTCGAGTGTGGTGTCACTGGGTCAAGCACTTCCCGAACCGATTCAGTGTGTCACGGTGTAACGTGCTTTGCTCGTCCATGAACCGTTAAATTCGATATCTTGCGTTGATACTCTATAAAGGCATTTGTGCTCAAGTCCACGGAACTTAGTCATGGCAGCCAAGAAGAAAGTTCTTCTTCCTTCCGACGTGGGGCCCACAGTGTAGACTCCACGCTGTTCTTAGAGTCCTAGCGAGTCTAGGTAATGCGGTGATTCCAAGTGTTGCCGCACTCCACGCACTGCCTACAAGTCCATCGTCTGCTTGCGAATGCCGAGGTTTTGCCTGAAGAGTATGACCTCACATTGGAGCCAGATCTCGAGCAGTTCACATTCGATGGTATTGTCAAAATCACTTGCGACGTCCATGTGGCGACTGACTCTGTGAGCGTGCATGCCATGGATCTTGTTCTGTCACAAGCTGTTTTCAAGCCTCATGGCTCCAGCACCGTCATCAAAGCAGATGAGATTTCAACAAAGGCACGTTCCCTCACACCCAACAGTTCATGTATGGCAAAACAGCATGAAGCAGTAATTGCACACATGTTGAAACTTGTCAAGGCCAAGATGAAGACGGCGACATTGGGATTTGATGAAGTCCTTCCCGTTGGCAAGGGTGTGCTGGAAATCAAGTTTCGGGGCATCTTGAACGACCAAATGGCCGGCTTCTACCGCTCACAGTATACAGAGCCTCGGCTTTGCCTTGATGTCAAGGGGCTGTCGACTTTAGACTAAGAGCTTTAGTCCCGAGGACTCTTGTGGCAAGAAGCGCTTCATGGCCACAACTCAGTTTGAAGCTATTGATGCACGACGTTGTTTCCCTTGCTGGGACGAGCCAGCAAGGAAAGCCACATTTGCCCCAGACTTGGTACGTGTGCAAGATGTGTTTTAAAGTTAAAGGCTCGGAAGTTGGGTATGTAGCACACCTTGAGAGCAACGTCGCATGCTGAGGTGGTCACACTCATCTACCCGGCCAATCTCACAGCCATTTCAAACATGCCTCCAAGCCGTTCTGAAGTTCAGGCAGATGGAAAGCGAAGGTTGGGAGTTCGAACCTGTCATGGTCTAATGTCAAAGTGGGCATCCCTGCCAGGGAAACGTTCATGCCAACCCCAAGAATGAGCACCTACCTGCTTGCTTTTTGCATTGGTGAGTTCGAGTTCATCAGTGCCAGCACGAAGGGAGGAGTGCTAGCACGTATTTTCGCATGTCCCGGCAATGCTTCTCGCTGTAGTTTTGCACTGGACTGTTGCATACGTGCTCTGGAGTTCTACAATGATTTCTTTGGTATCCCATACCCTTTGCCAAAAATGGACATGATTGCAATTCCGGATTTTGCGGCTGGTGCTATGGAGAACTGGGGATTGGTCACATACCGAGAAGTTGCATTGCTTTGCGATGAATCAACTGTGTCCGCAACACAGAAACAGCGAATATGCACGGTCATCGCCCATGAGCTGGCACACCAGTGGTTCGGCAACTTGGTGACCATGGAATGGTGGGAAGATCTTTGGCTGAATGAGGGCTTTGCGAATTGGATGCAGACGCAGCTTGGCAGAAATCCCTTGCAACGCAGCTCTTTTCTCAACGGTGGAGAGGTTTGTGTTTTAGGCTAGGTTCGAGAACAGACCAGGTTCGCTTCAGACAAGCTTTTCCCTGATTGGCACATATGGGAGTCGTATGTTGGGACGGAGCAGCAAAGAGCTCTGCAGCTTGATGCTCTACGCAGCAGCCACCCGATACAGGCATAATAGATTGCAAGTCCAGCAACGTGCACATCGGCTGATTTGGAGTCGACACGTGCAGGTACCGATCGGGCACGCGGAAGAAGTAGAGGAGGTCTTCGACGCAATTTCTTACTGCAAGGAGCGCGGGACCTTTGGTCTTGTTGGAAGCGCATTCGATCACAGACTGCTCTTGAAATGCATGCGAATTGTCACCCACATCATTCCCTTGTCCGTGCAAGCCTCATCAGGGAGGATCTGTGGTGCGCATGATCTACTCGGTGCTTGGCGAAGCGCACTTCCAAGAGGGGTTGCGGTTGTACTTCGACAGGCAGGATACACTGTGAATGATTCGGAAACATTCCATGTGGTTGTTTGAGATGCAGCGTTGGACGGCTGAGAGTTTCGGAACTTTGGTTGGGAAAGTTCATTGATAACTGGCTCCCCGTTTTGCATGACAACGACGAGATAGACTTGTGCAGGCACAAGTATGGCAACACAGTCACCACTGATTTGTGGAATGCTTGGAAGGAGGTGGGTCAAGGTGTTTGACATGTGGCACACACCCTTCGTCAGTCTGTGGCTTACATTGCCGTGTCCTAGCTGTGCCAGGTTTCTGGCAAGCCTATCGACAAGATGATGAGCTCATGGACACAGAAGATGGGCTTTCCACTGCTGGAGGTGCCCTCTCACCGGTGTTTCTGGGAAGCCATGCTTCTGCCGCATGTGCTTGTAGCACCATCTCGTGCCAAGTTACCTTCCAGGTCTTGAACGATCCACTGGCTGACTCTACTGGCCATGCAGTGCTCTGAGTTTCCTTCAGTCTGCATCTGTAGTGCATGGAGCTCGCGCTGAGGTGGAGATTAGACAGAAATGGTTCTTGGCAGATGGCTCCTTTGAGCCCTCGGATGACGACAAGACGTGGTTTTGCCCCGTGATCGTCGGCACGGACAAAGGCACCTCACCTGCTGGCTTTCTGGAGGAGAAGAGCGGGAAGATCGCATGCGCGAGTTGCCTTCCAGGCTTGTGAGAGCTGTCCATGTCGTCTGCGGCATGAGATCGGATGTGCATAGTCGGTGACGCAGAGATGATGCTCAGGTGCATCCATGATCAAGGTGAATTTTGGACAGCACGTTCCTGTGCGGGTGCTGTATCCCGAAGCTGTGTTTAAGCGACTGGTTCAGAACCTGAGAAGTGTGCCTCCAGAAGACAAGATTGGCTTGTTGTCCGATACATTCGCGATGAGCAAATCTGGAGTTTTGGATGCAAGTTTCTTGGTGGACCTTCTGGCTGGCTTCAAGTCAGAACTGAACGACAAAGTGTGGTCCGAGATTTCTGCAGTTCTCGGAGGTCTGGAGAAGGCCTGCTTGTAGTCATGCCACTGACTGTCCTGCACGTGTACGGGAGTAAGTGCTTCGCTAGCAGTTGACGGCGCTGATCACGTTTGCTGACCAGGTGGTGTGCCAGGGTCTGGCAGACGACACGGCGCAAGCTTTCAAGGAGTTCTGCAGCAAGCTCGTAGTTCCAGCATTCACTCACGTGGGATGGGAGACTTGGCGTCAGTTTTGAGCGTGCTTTGGGGGGAATCCCCAGCCGCTTCGACAAAACGCATCGGGGAGAGGACAGGAGCAGAAGACGGCTCGGTGTTGGATCGCGCTTGCCGCTGAGGAGACGGGAAGCGCAGACAGCGACAACCGCAAGAAGCTGCGCAGCACGGTGTTGGCGGCGGTCTCGAAGTACTGCTCACAGGACCGGAAGGGTTTCCAAAGGCGGACTACTTCACTTGATAGCGATGGGTCTCTGTGCAGGATCCAACGATTTCCGCCGAGGCGGTGCGGCGGTGCAAGGAGTTTGCAGCATCGCCCAATGATCCCACGGCAGCTTTGCAGCACCTCGAGCCTTCTCGAAGATGCCATTTGCAGAAGCTTTTTGGAGCAGCAAATCTCTTGATGTTGCTCTGCAATGCTCTGCATAGGTGTAGCGAAGACACGAGGTGCTTTCTGCAGACATCCGTTCTGCAGTTTTTGATGTAGCACTGCAGAGTGACCACGCCGCGCTCGCATTCGATGAGCTTGTTCGCGCCCACGAAGTCGTGACAGATGGTTCCTCGACAAAACACAGGCATGCACACCTGAGCGACTTACCCACGTAGGTTCGCTTCTGGGTTGATTCGAGCTCCTTCGTAGCATCGGTCTGAAGTATTGACTCATGTTTTTCGCAGGATGTAGTAAGGTGAAGCTGTGCACAGGTCAATGCTGGGAGTCCAATGCTTTTTGAACGGTCGTCGTAGGGTGTGCCTGCACTTCCATTCCGGTGTATGTCGCACCCTTCGGAGAGGGTACTCTTTGAAGCTTTGAGGAGCAGTAAAGATCCACATCTACGGCGCTTTGGGCAAAGCCGGCGGATTTGCACTCCAGCAGAAAGCACTGGACTTTTGCCTCAGCGGTGCGGTTCGGTCTCAAGACCTTATCTACATTCCAATGGCCATGGCCACAAGTGGCAAGACTGGTGCGGACACAGTTTTCTCCTGGATGCAGAGTGAGTACAGCCGCATTTATGATATGATTGGTGCGACTTCGATGATGCTCTTCCAGAATATGGTGCGGGTGTCCGGAGCAGGGTTTGTCACGGAAAGCAAGGCCGAGGAGGTGGCTGCATTCTGGAAAAGCCGCGACCTGTACAAGAACATAGAGAAAGCTTTGGCACAGACGGTCGAAGGGATCAAGTCCAACTCAAAGTTTGTGGACAGGTCTGGGACCAGAAGTTGTGAAGAAGTGCGAGTAGTGCCTTCGTTGCGTCGCTTAGAATCTTGTTCAGTTTTGTCCACAGCTTAAAACACTGCTCGGACCTGGCAGGTTAAGGGGATCGAAGGCAGCCCTGGCTTCAACCTGGAAATCTGCAATGGCCAACAGCAACTTGTGAAGCTAGTACGGCTGACGCTTGACCGCCGAGAGCAATCCAACTCTCGCGTGGCTCCAGTAGGTGCAAAGCAACAGATGCTGGAGACAAACATGTGAATGAAACGCGGTGCAAGCACACAGAGCCGGTCACCTACACCAGAACTCATTTCCTGACGAGGCCAAAGGTGTGGAGACAATGCTTTCCTTTCTGCGACACTTGCCGCAAGCCCATGTGGCCCCAAATACATCGGAAGCAGTGAATGCAGCCGCCAGCCACTCAGACTTTGGGGGCAGTTTTTCTCGCCCATTCCAGAAGCTTTCCTCTGGCGAACCGAGGCTGCTGCGATGTTTCAACGGGCAGCGTGCTGGCTCAATGACGTTGTTCCTGGGGCCTGGAGTTACTTCCGAAATCCTCAGCTGCAACCCATGCTTCAGCGCGGCCGCCAGGACGAGGTGGACTTCGACCAGCTTCAGCACGTGCTGTATCTGGCCTTCTGGTCCCACACCTGTTTCCACAGTTGCCAGGGATCATTAGAAGAATTTGCAACAGAGTGATGTGGGAGGCTGGGCGCAGAGGATGAGGACGTTGCCCTCTCCGCTTGTGTCTGAGTGTTTCGAGTCTCCTTTCGGCTAACACGCTGAGAGATCGACGGATCTGGCAAGGCATTGGATGCCATCGAAAGGTTTACGCTGTATAGGTACCTGTGCAGTGGTCGGTATGCAACAGAACTTGTAGCTGAACGTGATGACATGAGGAGTGAGAATGGCGCCACACTTCTCCAGTCAGATGTCCTGCAGGCCCTGGCAACATAACTGGGGTGCTGACTCTGACCTTTGCTTCCATCTGTCGCTTCAGGTGCTGCACCGTATCATTGGCCACAACCGAGCGCCGGAGCTTGTCTCTGAGGCATCGTTGTTGTGTACTTGAGAGGGTGTCCCAAATCCCGAGCGCTGGCCAGGCATTCACACTTCTCTACAGACTCTGCGATGCCCCGGCTCCCGCGGTAGAGCCACCGGCAGGTTTGATCAAACGACATAAAATAGTCACTGGAATGATAGGCAGCAGTTTCATGAGCTGTGAGTATACCGTGCTTTCGGGCTTTGCCAAACCTCTTGTGTGGGTGGCTCGGTATTTGTCCGAAGCCCGCCGGTTATTCGTGACAGAGAGTCGTTTTTTTGGAGCTTCCTTTATCACGAGTAGGGCTTGAAATGAGAAAGCAGGCAGTGAAGCTCAACCGAAAAATAGGTCATGCCGCAGATATTCCAGAAGCCACTCCGGGAGCAGAGCCGTTGATGGATTGGAAACCCACCAAAATTCCCTACCCCAAGACCCTTCAAACGGATGGATCGGAAGCTGATGCCGAAAGCCTGCGCCTCTTGAGATTGTTTTGCTTGTGTCTTCGCGCGCTTCATTTAAACATTGCCCCAGCAGTCCAGGATGTTTCTCCTTTGTTCGCGAATTCCGGCAAACTCATCGAAACAGTGAGCCCGTGACTCTCTCCACTTCTAATCCTCGCAGGCGTCTTACTCGACAAACGTTGATACCTGAGGCTGCGTCAAACCCTGCTCTCACAGAAAGGCCTCCGTGCTGCGGCAGGCTCTTGCCACTGAGCAAGCAAATCACGGCACGTGTGATTGGGGTCTTGCATCTGAACATCATCCATACAATACAGACGACACCTCTGCAGGCTCTCTGCTGCGCTTGCTGCTATCTGAAGCACTCCCATAGCAGGGAATGAGAGGAGTCCATCGGACCATCTTGCTCATGGGGCTTGGTCTCGGCTCCATGGAAGAGGCTTTGCTTGACTGGCAACATATGGCATCCTTTTTTCCTCGTTGTCAGCGAGCGGCTGCTGCGCTCGGTCCTTACAAGAAACTGAATGACGAGTAACGAAGAATTAGGGTTTGATTCCGGAGAGGGAGCCTGAGAAACGGCTACCACATCTAAATCTAAGGAAGGCAGCAGGCACGCAAATTTCCCAATCCTCACACATGGAGGTAGTGACAAGAAATAACAATGCAGGGCATCCATGTCTTGTACTTGGAATGAGTAGAATTGAAACCCCTTTTGTGCCAGGTACCGTTGATGACAGAGGAAAGTGGCCTGGTGCGGACAGTAGTCGGAGACTGAAATGCTGGTGACATCTCATATCGCATCTCATTCAGCTGCAGAGGTGGAGTCAATGTTGCAGGCTCCGTTGAATATGCCTCTGGCCTTATGTTCGCTCTTGTGAGGGTTTGTTACACCTTGGCGGCCGGGCTTCCGAGGCGGTTACAGCTCGCGGGAGTCAGGCTCCTGGCCTTGTGGGCACAGCAACGCTGGCACGGACTTCTGCCTGCAGTCGCAGTTGCAGTCTGTGCTTGTGCCTCTGCAGCTACCATGATGTTACGCTTCGTGCCAGGTTCGATGTGGCTGAGGATCCCGAAGCCGAAGGGGCGATGTCGGATCAGAAGGCCAATCTTGTTTGCTTTCAGCATTCAACATCGCGCTGGGAGCGTCCCTTCGGCTCAGCTGAACCGGAGGACTTAAAGCAGTTTGTGCGCGAGGCCGGCGGTATCTTGACTCCAGAAATATAGCGGGGCGACTGTTGAATGACGAGGCCAACGCCGCGGAAGTTGCCAAGGAGGTGGCAGCGAACCTGACCCGGGCTGGGTCCTGCGCTTAAAGAGCTGACCTCGAACCTGCTCCAATAGCAGCTCTGCATGGTTGGCTCGGGAGCTAGCAGCTGAGGCTTACCCACGCTGCTTCATGGATGTCAGCTATCTCTTCTCGCCTGCCAGCATCTCAGTTGCGAAGTGCCACTGGGTCCTTCTTTGCTGCGCATTCAAGTATGGCTGATGCCTTTTCATGTTTCGGCCATGCCAAGGCCTAAGCGAGTGCAGGGAAGCAAGGGGTCAAAGGAGCAACGGGAACCAAAGGCAAGCAAAGGTTCCAAAGATGAGCCAGGATCTCAGAGGTGGCAGGCTTCGACTTGGATTTTCACAGCCTGTTTGGATCTCCAGGCATGGTCCTCGTTCGGCCAGCAAAGCAAGTGGCTCCTCGCGAGCGAAGTCGAAGTGACTCTGCAACGGGTGCTTCACGATGCAAGGCATCAGTTTCACAAGCCTTTGCAGTCTTGTCTCACACCATGCATGACAAAATAAATGCAAACCACATTGCATCAATCCCGTGTGATGATTTCTGGAGCTTCATTTGTGCTGCTTTGCAAAGACGCCTGTCCGCCCCATACCGGGTGCTTCTTTCAGCCATGCTCCATGCAATTTGGGTGACAATGTCAGTTTAACGCTGTTACGACAAGGTCTAGGTTGCAGCCTCAATCAAGATAGCTTCATAGGGTTAATCACTGCAGGTCTAGGCATTGCTGGCAACAGGCTCCGAGTGCCATGTCTCGAAATGTTCTAGGGTCAGTTGTGGACTGCCACAGTTTGGGCTGAGCATGGCGTATCCTCACCCCGAATCTGCCGAAGCCAAAAAGATGCTACCCTGCAAGACAGTACGTTTTCGCATTGCGGCTCCGTTCCTTTTTCGTGTATTTGTCCTAGTTCCAGTCACCCACCCCGTTTCAGAAAGTGTTGCAGTGAACAAGTTTGGAAACATAGGAGATCTCTTCATATTCATGCTCGCTGGGTTGCTACCGCTGAGCCTGGAGATCCGGACGTCTTGGAGGATCATGTCATCTCTGTGGACCGTGCAAGTGGGAAAATCACGGCGCTCACCCCTGCCAGTGAATTCTCGGGCACGGCAGATATGCATTTGACAGATCATCTTGTGATTCCAGGCCTGGTCAATGCGCACACCCACACTCCAATGTCGTTGCTCAGAGGGTATGCAGATGATTTACCACTCAACGAGTGGCTGTTCCAGCACATTTTCCCAACAGAAGGCAAGTTTGTTTTCGATGCACCGCTGGAAGAAGCAGAGGAATTTGTTCGATTGGGTTCAGAACTTGCTTGTTACGAGATGCTGAAAACGGGAACGACTCTCTTCAACGACATGTATTTCCACGGTGATGTCACTGCCAATGTTGCTCGCAAAGCAGGCATGAAAGCCGTCCTCACTAAGGCTGGTCTGCTCTTTTTTGGCGATGATGCTTTATTCAGCGAACTTGTCGGTTCAAACACGAAGTTCTGTGCGGAGCTCATTTCCTCAGAGGACAAGGCCATCAGGCCTTCGTTGCTACCGCATTCTGTATACATGGTGCCTAAAGAGAAGCTGCAAGAGGTCAAACAGGCCTACGACATCGCTTGCAATGGTGCTCATGTGGTGATCCATACACACGTTCACGAAACGAAGAAGGAAATCGCGGATGTCTTCGAGAGAACCGGACAATCTGCTCTGCAAATTTTAGACGACCTCGGCATGCTGAACAGTCGCACTGTGGCAGCGCACTGTGTTCACATGACTGACGAGGAGATTGCCCTCATGGCCAAATGCCGGGCCAGTGTAGCGCACTGCCCAAGGAGTAACTTGAAGCTAGGTTCGGGTATTGCGCGGACGGCAGACATGTTGAAAAGTGGTGTCAACGTCTGTCTTGGAACGGACGGTGCAAGCTCCAACAACACTTTGGACATGCTTACAGAGAGTCTTCACTGCAGTTGTTAGACAAGGACGATAGCGGTTGTTGCAGCGTCAGCTGCAGAAGTTATTTCGAAAGTTTGCTAAACTGCCTCTTGCTTCAAGGCTGGGCAATGCTAGGCTGGGCCAGGGAGCTAGAGGGGAGTTGTTGTACTTACCGTATGCCGAGGATGCAATATGCGTCAATGATCGCAAAGGGCGTCACCGGGGATCCCACGGTGTTGTCCGCAAGGGAGGTCTTGGAAATGGCAACGCTGCGTGGCGCCCGAGCACTTGGCTTGGAGGCGGAGACTGGGTCCATCAAGGCGGGTGGCTGGCATCGAGGTATTCCCAGTTCGAAGTGCAATGAGTATGCCGCAAAATGACCATGACCATGCGCAAGTTCTTATCGCCAGGTTGGAAAAGCTGCAGACCTGGTTGCGGTTGACCTTGGACGCCTTGAGGCCAGCACCAGTTCATTCGGAAGGTTTGATGATTTGTCCCTCTGAAGGCATCCCCGATCTATGATCCTTTGGGCCAGCTCGTGTACACGAACAGCCGCCAGGTGCGAGCCCTGGAGTCTTTTCATCATCACCGTCGGTGTGCCTTATGTGGCTAGCGGCTGATGTGGGTTGGATGCACAGACGCCCCGGTAGAGGTCAGCCACGTGTGGATCGACGGCAAGTGTATTGTGCAAGACGGCACGGTCCTGACACTGTTATCAATGGACACGTCTGCCACCGTGCCTCCGAGACAGAGAGTTCAGAGTTTGCTTGATTTCGCTTTGTGTCTCTCGAAACAATGCCGATCATGCTTCCCGAGACAGGAAAAGCTTGTTTCCAAGCTGCGAGACTTCCGCAAGTCCCTACCGGCTGCCAGCTGAATCTCGAGCTGCGCTTCGAAGAACCATCCTGCAGAGTCCAGCTGAGAAGTCTATGCGCAAAGTGTCAGTTCTGGAGATTTTCGCAGCTGTTGATGTGGGATTCTAAAAGAGCAGCTGCCGATTGTCCCACTTGAGCTGCCGACAACCTTGCTTGGAAGTGCTGTGCCTGGATTGGTTTGTGGGCTCAAGTCGGAGGGTCTTTGAGAGGGCAGGAATGGCACCAAAGAAGCCCGTTGAGGTGGGGAAGAGACCTTGCGAGAGGTTGTGCCTCGTCACTGTGCCAGGAGCCTCCCGAGGAGGAAGCTGCAGAGCCTGAGCCGGTGGAGGAGAGATCTGGAAATGCAGCTTCCCTTTGTCTCGACCGTCTCGTCACCTGAGAGCAGGGCGATGAGACCGAACTGATCACTGGCCTCAAGCTGCCGCTGAAACCGAACGTGCTGCCCTCGGCTTCAAGAAACCAGCGATGAGCTGACAGATCACAGGAGACAGGAATGAGAGAAGCATATTCAGCGCGCAAGACGACAGCTAACTAGCTAACCACAGAGACAAGTCTCTGCAGTTGCAGCGTGCCGGCAACGGCAACCGTAGCCGAAACCCCTCTGATGCGTCATAGTTTTTGGCAGTGGCACTCAGGACGTCGGTCGAATCTGGGCGCTGCAAGACTATGTTGCACAGTCAAAGATCCTCACAGAGCTCTTGGGTGCCTCACCTGCAAAACCTCTGCACGGTTCCCCGCGGCCCACGTGACGTGGCCCACGTGGCCTGGCCTTTGCCGTGGCCTCTGCCGAGGCCTCGAAAGCGCGCATCCCAACGTCGCTCGGAGGCCACTCAGAGCGCTTTGCGGTGTGAAGCGAAGAGCAAAGCGCAAAGCTCTGCTCTGCTCTGTTCTGCAGGGAGATCGTGTGCGACTTCCACCTCTTCAACCTTAGCCACGCGAAGATGTTGTGCTTAACCCAGAGGCACGAAGCCCGTAGGCGAGGGCCCGCACGAATGCATGAACCGGGCAGGCAAGGCGCCGTGTTCCACGCAATCATGACCGTGATTCTGGACTTTGCACCTGCAGAACCTAGCCGCTAGCGCTAGCCATTGCTTGACGAAAGCAGCCCTCGAAGGCGCCTCCCAGGCCTTGTCAAAAGATGTGCCCTTTGGGGCCCACCATGATGGTCCGTCCTCATACAGCCAACCTGAGATCTGGTGGTCCTTAGTCCTTCGTTCAGTAAACCAGAAACCTCGAAAGGCGACAGGTCGACTGAAGTCTTGGAACTGGAAGGTTACTGCCGCGTTCTCGCCAGCTTCGCCCCCTTGTCATGTTTCAGCACGCTTCAGCAAACATCAAGCCGATGAAACTTGGAACCAGTGGCCGATTTCTTGCAAAGTGCTTTGAGGCACCGTCGAACTTTGCCACAATGCCTTCTTTATGTTTGAAACTCGCGATGAAGTATTCCGGTTGGCAGCGTTCTTGCAGGACATGGCCAAACAGGGCTCCGAGGACTCCGAGGCCCGGATGCTCCGAGCTGCTCCGAGGACTGCAAGCTCTGCCTTTGCCTGCAGGGCGCTGCCGAGGCCGCGAAGTCTGCGTCCCAGTGTATGCTGAGACATGGCAGCTGCTGATACTCATATCGGCCCTTTGAGCATTTCGAGGAAGGAGCGTCGGACACTTCAGTGATTTGCCTGCTACCGATTCCTTGCATGGCACGTTTGGCTGCTGCACAGGGTCTGTTGCCGGGATTGGCCACGGTGGAACAGCTCCTATGGGGGTTAACGTGGTGACACAGCATGTGGCTGAGTCACACAAAGCCATCGACGCAGCACTTGCCTGAAAGCCATTTGACACAGTGGAGGCATGTGATAGCCTCCATGTCGGGTCCATCAGCGGCATGTATGCATGCAAGGGAGTTCGCAGCCATGAAACAGGGTGTCGCTGAGTCGAGTTGCAAGGAAATGTGCAAGTGGGGCGAAGGAAGGCATGCGTTTGCAAGATGTCCTCACAATTGTCCAAGGTGCTTCAAGAAGTTTCAGGAGCTCCTGGTGCTCCACTCGGTCAACGATTCGCCTGACCGTTCTGTCCCAAGTGGTTAGCTCACCAGCCTTCTCGCGGAGTTCTGTGCCAGACCGAAAGGTCTAGCGATCTTCGGCGCTGGCGAGGCCTTGTGCAGTCTGTCAAAGCAGAATCATCACCTTGGTCCAGTGGTGGGACCCAATAAGGCCAGAAGGCTTACCGACTACGCGACAACGACGCTATTCAAGCTCCCTGTCGGAGATAGCTTTTGAGTTACTCACGACGACAGGTGGGTAGAGGCCGTCTGTCTGCCCGTCTCTCTGTCTCTCTGTCTCTCTGTCTGTCTGATCTGTCTGTCTGTCTGTCTGTCTGTCTGCCTGCCTGCCTGGCTGGCTGGCTGGCTGGCTGGCTGGCTGGCTGTCTGTCTGTCTGTCTGTCTGTCTGTCTGTTCATCCGTTGTGACATGGTCACGCACCTGCCGGGAGATGTTTACTGTAGCTCTGACTACCCAAAGCGTCAAAGTCAAAATGCCTGTCGGTCTGTCTGAATGCATGGATGGGTGGCTAGCTGGCTGGCTGGCTGGCTGGCTGGCTGGATGGATGGATGGATGGATGGATGGAGGTAGGTAGGTAGGTATGTATGTATGTATGTATGTTCGTATGTGTGTATGTATGTACGTACGTATGTATGTATGTCTGTCACACATGCCATACATGCCATACATGGCATACACGCAGACTTTGCATGCATAAACGTCCCGCCATGTATTTGTTGGTTGGTGTCTCTCTGTAGCTGTTCATGTTCTGCGTATACATCCGTGCCTCTTAATTTGTGTACCGGTGCACCTGCCCTATGACTTCTGCTTACCCAATTCTGGTCAATTCCGCAGTCTTCCACACGATTTTCTCATTGCCGTATGTTTTCTTGAGACTGTTTGACGGTGCACTCTCGGCGTTGTTCCACTAAGACTCCATGGTGTACCGTGTGGCAGAATGTATTCTGCTTAAAATCCCATGTCGTCGTGTCGCCCACCTGGATGTCGTGATCCGCTCTCCGCTCCCAAGGCATTTCCTTCTCTACCAGTTCTGCGTCTGCTGCGAAAGAGATGTGGAGACCTTGCGCTTCAGCGTAGAAGTGGAGAGGCGTGTTGTGCAGCTATGCGCTGCGCAGACGATTCTGTGGAACATTGTTAGCTGCAGGCCACTGGTGCCCCCAGCATTGGGAACGGCGAGACAAAAGGTGAGCCGAAGGCTCGCAACTACTTTTTCACACCACACGGTCCCCGGTCGGTGAAAGGCTGAAGACAGCCGCATGAAAAGAAGTCAAAGCTGAAACTGCCGTCCCGACCTGCGAGGCCGCAGCAAACTCCCGATCAGGAGGGGGCAGGTGCCGCGGAGGCACGGTGGTCGCCCGTCGCAGCTGCTGAAGAGCAAGAGCAACTGGGTCTAAAATGCGCAGGAGAAGCCGTCCGGGCCAGGTGGTGAGGCAGGATCAGTTCACAGCCTCAAGAGTTGTCAGAGCCTTTTGCTCGAGGACCTGTCTGAAGAGGAGATTCAGCGCTTGGTTGAGGCAGGTTAGCTGCTTGCTAAGCCACGAGCCTTTTTGAAATTCCACAGGAGAAGCTCCGGGAGACTGAGGCGCGGTTGGAGGCACCTTCCCAAGATGCTTCGGCATGCTTCCGGTTGCGAGGTGTTTAAGATTTGTCGAATCAAAGGCCAAGCTGGCTGCCAGAGAGCAGCAATTCATGGAGCGCTTGGTGGCCATCTTGGCTGCACAGGTTGAGAATTGTTTGTCCGAGCTGAACTTATACATGCGATTTGACCTGAGGCGAGCAAATAACCGCTTGCAGAGCGTCTGCATGCCTTTCTGCAGGAAAGGGCCGTGTTTCACCAGACGAAGAGCAAGTGTGTGAGCCCGAAAAAGCACCCACCAAATTCACAATACAGAGGGCCATGAGCCGCAGCCAGCATTTCATCGTGAGGGAGTGTGTGCATGGAGTTCGATTCACGGATCTGCTTTCTCTTAAAGTGCGGGAACATGGGAGTGAGACTGTCAAACGCAGCAATGTACAGATCATCAGGTGTGGACACACAGTGTTGACCTTCGAGTACAGGTCTTGCAAGCTAGGCAGCTGGGTGCAAGCGTTTGCTGTTCGGTGACGGACGGTCTATTTCCTCAGGAGTGTGGTTTTGGTGTTTTTTTTTGGGAGGGTTGGCAGAAGGAATGAGGGCAGGAAGAATAGGAAGGAAGCAAGGACGGAAGGAGGAAGGAACCAACGAGAAAGAAAGGACGGAGGACAGGAACAACGGAACGAGAAAGACATAAAGAAAGAACGAACGAAATAACAAACAAATCAAAGACAAGATGGAAAGAGCACAATCTAGAGGAACTGATGTGAGAAAGAACGAAAGACACAAAGATCTCAGCTCAGCGGGATCATTGTCAGCGGTCAACAAAGCGCTGTCGACTTTACGGATGGAAGACAGGGGGGAAAGAAGGCCAGAGGAACAAAGGAAAGAAGGGAGAAGAGAGGAGCATGAAGGAAAGGAAGAAGGAAGGAACGAAGGAACGAAGGAGTAGCCGGCTGGCTCGCTGCAACATAGGGCCGAGTAAATGGGCCACTTTGTCATCCTTCCGACCTCCAAAAGAAAAACACAACACGCCACTCGAACTTGAAAAGCACCCACGTCATGCGAATCCAAATTGCCTACTTACAGGGAGATATGATCGGGCAATCCTCGTCAGTGATCCGGAGGCGAACAGGTGGACAACTGCAGATGTCGAAGGCATGTGTCGTTTCATTTAGACACGTGGAGTGCAATGTTTGATTGCAGCTTTGATATGATGTTTGCTGAAGCATGCCTGTCGAGCTGCCTGTGCCAGAGCATGCCCTCGACACGGCCGCAGATTTTCTTGCAGACGGTCGTAGAGATTAGAAATGTCCTCAGCCAGCCAGACGAGAAGCCCGGAAGTACATGAAGTACACGCCATCTCCAGCAATTGAAAGGCGCCACCGTATTCACCGCATCCAACGATTTCGTGGACCTACAGTTTAGTTTGGTTGTTTTTCCATGTTCTGAGTTTAAACATTTTAGTAGCAGGTTCACAGATGCGTGTACCGGGTGTACGGTGGGTTGTATACTCTATCATATGTCAAAAGATGTGTAAGAAAGAAAGTCGAAACATTGCACTCGACAGCCAGCCGTGCATCAAATGGAACTTACGGAGGACGATTCCACGTGGAGTCTTTCTGCATTGATAGCCATTGGAGTTGTTTTGGATGTGTGCGCGTGTGTGTGTGTGCGTGTGGGTCCGTGTCTGTGTCTGTTCGGGCTCTCCTAGGTTCCTTTCACATCCGCCTTGCAGGATGAACGGGTGCTGCGAGGTCTGCTCCAGCTCAGCACCTAAATGCTGGTAATGCGTTGACAACCTGTCTTGTAAATGCTCTTGGGGCCGCAGCTTTTCCTCGTTAGTCGCCGTCGAGTCTTTCGTTTTCGTCCTGGGCGCTTCACAAACCACAGCAAACCACTCAGGTGCCCACAGTAGAGAAATGGATGGCAGCCCTCCGCGGCATGTCGGCGTGCAGGCACCGACGATATCCCACTCCGGCCGCGTATGCTTTGGGTAAAGCGGCGACCACAGTGTTTGGGATGTTTTTGCACCAGACCAAGAGCAACTCCAGGACAGTTTGAGCACGAGCTCCGCATGGAGCTTGGCCCACTTGGCCGTTCAGGCAAGCGGATTTGTTGACCTCGACCGGCTCGCTCGTCTTACCAGCTTGCACCCGGCCAGCTGCCGCAAGCGGCCAACGGAGTGCGATCCGCACGACCGGCACGTCGTCTGCATCTGGACGTGTGCAGACGTGGCTGAGACACGCAGAGCGTTTGACAGCTTCGAACTCAGCCTGGGTGGCCGTCGCTTCCCCCGTCCTCTGAGCTCTGTCCTTGCCTGGACTTCTTTTTAGAGGGGTTACTAATTTGTGACGACCACTAGCTGTTGGTTGTTGTGGGTTCGTCAATGCTACATGCTTTAGTGCTACTACAAGTGCTGCTGCAGCTGCTACGACTACGACTACGACGACGACTAAAACGATTACCACCAGTACTAGTACCACTACTTCTGCTGCTACAGGCCCTGCTTTTGTAGCCGTGGGCAATAGACAGATGTTGTGGGGCTCAGCACGGGTGGAGCCAGACTCAAGAGTGTTTCGTGTTTGCTAATTCAAGAAGCTTTAGGTTCTTTGTCTGCGCCGATGCGAGAAGATCTGCGTCTGAAGAAGTCCCGCTGAGACTCAGGTTGGACCAGAGGGTGACACGGACAATTTGCATGCTCACGTACACCTGTCAGGTACCGCGATCTGGTGCTGACCACCTACAGTGCGTCGGCAATGCATGAGAAAATCGATGCTGCAAAGACCAGCGAACTGCTCCAGGCCACTGAGCTTGGCGCATCTTGCAGTGAAGTGAATCAGTTCTTTGGCAGGGCAGGGAGGCAGGCTTGTGGACGTGACACACACACACACACACACAGCCACACACCCACCGGTAGTGTATATTTTTTTGGTGTGTGTACAATGATTCTTTGTATTTCGCAGTGTGCAAGTTGATGTGGTTTGGTAATGCTGCAGGGTCGTGGCCGGCATGCTGGACCAGAGCAGAGTGACACCTGAACCCCATCGCACATCCGTCTTCAATACATGCCGTGCAGGCGACCGTCGACGTTGAGGCCTTGGAGGAGCTTGGATTGAGTTTCTGGGAGAAGAAAGCTGTACGCAGCTTTCAGAATGTATGGCGGCATGGCGTCCGTGAGACATACCGGCTTGAGAAGCCTATGCAAAGCTTGAGATGAACCAGAAGTCATCACACCACAAGACAGGATAGCTCAAGTCCTGTGCCGCTGGCAGGATGGATTCAGTTTCTAGATGTTACAAGTGTCTCAGCATGAGCAGTGGTGCTTGCCCGTGGCGCCATGGCCACGACGATGCCTGCGGAGTGGCGTGCTCAGGAGGCCGACTTGCTACGCACATGCTGCTACTGTTCCGCTTCTTGGAGTTGCCGGCCTGCGGGCCCCGAGTGCCAGTACGCTTGCGGTCCTCGCCCTGGTCTGGTGCCAGCTGTCACCCAGGAACACGCCCTTTTCCTCCGAGGCTGGACCGCCTTTCCAGGTCGCTCCACTTGCTGCAGGCCGCGGTGTGCCGCGGGTGTCCGGTCAACCACGTGATGAACCAAAATAGGTCGTGCCGGGGTGCAGCCGGTCCGCATGCCAAGGACCGGGACCGATGCAAGCTGCACTTGAGAGCTGTCATGTAGTACAGTAGAAGAAATAGCGTAATAGTGGTCGTAGCAGCAGCTGAGCGTAGTACTAGTACTAGTCCTACTACTAGTTACTAGTACTACTACTACGACCACCACCACTACTACTACTACTATTATTACTACTAGTACTAGTACTAGTACTAGTACTAGTACTAGTACTAGTACTAGTACTAGTACTAGTACTAGTACTAGTACTAGTACTAGTCCTACTACTAGTTACTAGTACTACTACTACGACCACCACCACTACTACTACTACTATTACTACTAGTACTAGTACTAGTACTAGTACTAGTACTAGTACTAGTACTAGTACTAGTACTAGTACTAGTACTAGTACTAGTACTAGTACTAGTACTACTACTACTGCTACTACTGCTACTACTACTACTACTGCTATTACTACTACTACTACTACTACTACTACTACTACTACCACTACTACTACTACGACGACGACGACGACTACTACTACTACTTCTACTACTGCTACTACTACTACTACGACTACTGGTGGTGCAGCGGCTCCTGGTATTACTGCTACTGCTACGACTACTACATCCCACGACGGCTACGACGACTACCACGGCTACGACCACTACGACAGCAACGACGGCTACTACTACGAGTGCTACTACGATTACCTCGGCTACTATGACGGCTGTGACGGCGATGTCTACTGCTATTGCTCTGATACATTACCAGCCCGCGCCCAACGTTCATCGCCCATCTTACCCCCTGCCGTCTGTTTTTGAGATACAGATAACAGTCCGCAGCTGGTTCAGGGTTTCAGAGTGTGGTTTCGGGTTCCGGGTTTAAGGCGGGTTTTGAGGTTTTGTGGCGTTGGGGATTGTAGAGTCTTGGTATACGGTCTTAGGGTTTTTAATGTTTTAGGGTCTACTGTTTAGAGTTTTAGGTCTTCGAAGGTTTAGGGTTTAGTGCAAGGTGGTGGTAGGGCAGGGTGGGCATTCGCTGCAAAAGGGTCGATTAAGGCAGCTAGAGCATGTGCACTTGCAAACACGTCACCAAGTCTGCAAGTGGGGCAAGTGGGGCGAGCCCCACTTGCAAGTAACTCACCGAGTGGTCCCAAAGTTGAACTCGGACAGCTACTGCTACCGCTGCCGCTGCATCTCCCGATACTGCCCGCTGCCGTCTCTGCTACGGCTACCGCGACCGCTACCACTGCCGCTACCGCTACCGCTACCTCAACCGCTCCCGCTGACGCTGCCGCTACCGCTGTTTTGGACTTGCACTACTTTGTTTCAGGGCCTGGATGTCGTGGTATTCACAGTCCTTGCTTTTTACGGCTTTAGCTCTATGTGGACCTGGCCGCCTCAACGACCTGAAACACAGTCATCTCAACTTCACCACTTTCGATGGTTTTCACAAGACGAAGACACATCCTACGCACCCTGGCAGAAAGTCCCGGATCTACTGGTTTTTATAGTATATGCTTGGTTTCGATGTTTACTCGTATGACAGACATGATGGTTTTCTTGCTCGACGACCCGCAGCAGGTATGAGTGTGCAAAAAATTGGCTTCGTTTTTCTGCTTTCGTGTGAGGGCCTATCTTCTTCTTCTAGTAGCAAGAACAAACACCTTCAGCTTTTCCCTAGGCCTTTGATTTACCGTTACGTTCAACGTTCTCGAGCTTTCGCGGCTAAAGACTTTCGTTGCGATCTGCGGGTTCATGATGAATCGCAGGAATTTGTTATTTTTGGGTTTGCTTTTTGGGACCCAGTTTCTTCAAGCCTTTGTGCTTACTATGTTAGCGTCCACACGGACTCGATCCGTTCCCACAGAGCATCCATGTGCCAACCATGTTAACGTCTCACAGACTCCATCCGGTCTCCTAGAGCATCCATGTGCCAAGCATGTGAACGCCCACACAGACTCCATCCGTTCCCACAGAGCATCCATGTGCCAACCCCCACGGAGCATCCATGTGCCAACCATGTTAATGTCCACACAGACTTTATCCGTTCCCACAGAGCATCCATGTGCCAACCATGCTAACGCTCACACAAACTCGATCCGTTCCCACAGCCACAAAGCATCCATGTGCCAACCATGCCGGCGCCCACACAGACTCGATCCCTTCCCACGGAGCATCCATGTGCCAAGCACGTCCACGCAGACTCCATCCGTTTCCACAGAGCATCCATGTGCCAAGCATGTTAACGTCCACACAGACTCGATCCCTTCCCACCGAGCATCCATGTGCCAACCATGTTAACGTCCGCATAGACTCCATCCGTTCCCACAGAGCATCCACGTGCCAAACATGATAGTGTCCACACAGACTCCATCCGTTCCCAGGCAGCATTTATGTGCTGGTCTACAAGAACTTAGCTAATGCAGCAAGAGCCGCACCCTCGGCGAAACACCGGGTACCATCTGTCATGTTGGAGAATGATGGGGTTTTAAGTGGCGTGAACGTGGAAAAGAAGAGGGCCCGGAGTCGAGAAGTCAAACAGGGCACAACGAGAGAGGAAGGTTTCCGAGCCAGGAGCTCATGAGAGTTGATGAGGAGTACTTGAAGGTCAACACGGAAGCTTATATGCTACTGGCCGATGTAAACGTGCCGTTATCAGCCCCCCCGTCCCCACCACAGCCCACCCTAGAGTGCGGCAAACGAGGGTGATGGAGCCTAAGCCTACTACTACTACTACCACCACCACTACAACAACAAAAACTACTACTACTACTACTACTACTACTACTACTACTACTACTACTACTACTACTATTACTATTACTACTACTACTACTACGACGACGACCATCACTACTACTACTACTACTACTACTACTACTACTACTACTACTACTACTACTATTACTATTACTACTACTACTACGACGACGACTACTACTACTACTACGACTACGACTACTACTACTTCTACTACTACTACTACTACTACTACTACTTGCTCCTACTACTGTCATTACTACTACTAAACGACGACGACCATCACTACTACTACTACTACTACTACTACTACTACTACTACTACTAATACTACTACTACTACTACTACTACTACTACTACTACTACTACTACTACTACTACTACTACTACTACTACTACTATTACTACCACTACTACTGTTACTACTACTAGTACTACTACTACTACTACTACTACTACTACTACTACTACTACTACTACTACTACTACTACTACTACTACGACTACGACTACGACTACGACTACGACTACTACGGCGCCGGTGACGGCGCCGACTACTACCACGACGATTACTACTACTACTACTACTACTACTACGACTACTACTACTACTACTACGACTACTACTGCTACTACTACTACTACTACCACTACTACTACGTCTACTACTACTACGTCTACTGCTGTTACGAAGAGTACTAGGTCCACTGCGACTACTACGGCTGCGACGACCACTAGTACGACGTTGACGACGACTTTTACTGTTGTTATGATGTGGGTTGTTTCGCAAGCGTAAGTTCCTGAGCAGTGAAAGACCACGGGCGATGTGCTCTTGGATGCACGACTCAGATGCCTCGCCTCACCAACCCCCGTCGGATGAAGACCTTCGCAGATTTTGCTAGCTTCGGAGCTTGAGCTGGGATTTTTGGTTGATAACACAGTTCTGAAACTTGACTTTACCCGGTGTGCTACTGTACATCCGCTCTTTTGTGACCGTCCATAGCCTTTTGTCAACACGACAGGACTGCAGCATCAAGAACAAACCAGCACGTCCGCAATGTGAAAGAGGGTGCGGTCCTGACCTCAGCGACTGAAGGAGGATTGGCACATGCAGCTGCAACTTTCCAGTTCGCTGAAGGTAATGTTAGTGATGATGGTAATGATGACGATGATGGTGATGATGATGAAGATGATGATGGCGATGATGATGGCGCTGGCGCGATGGCGTTGGTCAACGATTGAGATTAAGACGACGATGACGATAGTTGCCGCTGCTGCCGCCGCTGCTGCTGTGGTTGTGGTTGTGGTTGTGGTTTGTGGGTTGTTGTGGGTTGTTGTGGGTTGTTGTGGGTTGTTGCGGGTTGTTGCGGGTTGTTGTGGGATGTTGTGGATGGTGGTTGTTGTTGTTGGCAGCACTTGCGTCTGCCGCCGCGTGGGGCGGTGCGATTTCTTTGCTGGCATGTGCTGGAACCAGAATTTTGGCACTTTGCTCATTTGGAACTGAATTTGCGTTTTGGTTTCGCATCGGTTTTTGCGGTGTTTTCGAACAAAAAATGCGACAGCCGGCGGGCTACACTGTACAAAAAAAAGGCTGAGCTCTCCATTTAGGGGAAAGGAGGGGGGTGAGACGTCCATGCGAACGCGGATTCTGTCTTGTGTTTCTCTTGTTGACCTTGTTCTGGTATGTTCTGGTACGGTACCTCGGTGAGGAGGGGGGGTATG